CATACTGTTAGATGCCAATTCCAATGCAACAAGCTTCTCAGCTTGAACTTCAGCGACGTCTCTTTTTATTTGCGCAACAATAGCATCATGCTCGGCGATCGAAAGGGGAAGACCATTCTTGGCAATAAGAGCTTTGGCAAATTCATCTTTCAATTTGTTCTTAGCCTGTTTCTCCTGTAACCAAACAACGAGGAATTAGTTTAAATTTGAAGGAAAATTACTTACAAGCTTTATAGACGTCACTGCCAACTTATGCTACCTTATCCTTCAGCGCAGAAAGTTTTTCTCTTACTTCCTTTTGTTTCTCCACAAAGTTAGCATTTTGTTCTTCAATCCAGTTTCTCAATTTTCTGGGAGGAAAACAGAGATTAAATTTGAAAACCAACCCAATCAAAGATTAGCATGTTGAATGGGTTTACTTACGTAGTATTGAGAGCCTCATCACAAAGGTAAGTCAATAGTCTGAGCTTTTTAGAGAAGTCTAAGTCATCATAACAATTGTCTCCTCCATCAAAGTAATCAGGTTTGAGATCATTCATCTTAAATGAGGATGCAGAAATGCATTTCTTCAAATCCAGCAACCATGAGCTTGTGTCATTTGTGGGACTAGAGATTGCAGACCTAAGAACAGATAGAGGTTAAGATTAGAGAGTGTATGCCCAATCAAATAATAGAAATAAGAGCCTCAGCTTATTATAGTCATACTCTTCATCCATATCCTGCAATATCAGAGAAAGGAGTTGAATATGAAATCGAACAGTCAGTGAATCATGAACTCGACCCCCCCTTCTCGGAGTTCTCTCCCGCGTTAGGTCTTTGAGTACTAACGCACCGTGCCCTTTCTTTAAATTAAGAGCCTATCCAAGAACGAAAAAGAAAACCAATCAACAGATATGGTACTGTGCTCTAGCTGAACTCCTCATAAAGGATAATGGGTCAAAATTCCATTTTGGTCGTTACACTTTCAAATGCCTGAATTTAGTACTCGTACTTCCAATAAATCTTAAAACTGATCTCAAAAAAATGAACTGAAACCAAAAATGATACACATACCTTCCCAAAGGCTGCACAGAATTCTAAAAACTGCAACGCATGGCCAACATCTTCTGTGGTCAGTTCAATATCTGCTACTGTGGTTAACTTAGAACATGGAGGCAAAGGAACACAGGCACCAAATTCCTTGTTCTGAATATTCATAGGTGGCTTGTTTTTCAACTTTGTTCTTTTATTTTTAGCATCTTCTGATGTCTTGGCATATTTGTGAATATCCAAATCTTTTACTTCTGTCGATTCTTCAGCTGTAATTACAGGGCAAGAAGCGTCCTCATGACACAAACTATTCCTTTCTCCAGCATCCTCAGAGGCTCGTTTTTTGGAGCTCTTTTTCTTCGTGGAAAGACATTCATTCGTCCCATTTGCTTCAGTTTGCTTCTTAAGAGTTTCCTCTATGCATTTAACATCAACCTTATTTCCATTGCTTATTTCTTTCAGTTCTTTACGCTTCATGTCCTTCAACTCCTTTTTTTCAGAGTTTGGAGTTTGATTCTGCAAATTCAAGTTCGATTCGTTATTTCCATTTAAAGAATTTTCCTTCCCTTCGTTCCTTGGTGAAATCATGACAGACACCTGTTGGAAAGCATGTGATCTTTGTAAATAAAATAGCATAGGCATGGAAACCAAACCTGGAATGCAAAAACCCTGTGGAACATATACATTTCTTTGGTAGGAAACAAGAGAAACACGTACTGAAACACACCACATAAGACAATCTAAAGGCCACTGGGAAAAGACGCCCCATGCCCAAGTCATATGAATCTAAGAAGCATAAGCACAAGGTAATGAGTTCAAGAGAAGGATTTCAACGTGGAAGCCAAGTTGCATTGAATATGGTCAAGTGCATCAAATAAACTCAATTGCATCACAAACTTCAGTCATTAAACCCCACTGAAAGCCACACCAACAAAAACCTGAAGAAGACATCACCCCAGACGCTAGGGAACCACTGAAAAGCAAGGCCAAAGACCAAAAGAAGCCACAAAGAGCATCTCAAGTAAAATCTTAGGATCTTCAAATGTTAATATGTGAATAGAAACAAAGAGCCATCATTGATATCAGCCAACTAAACCTAAAATGTTTCCGGTGAGATTGTTGAGGATTGAGGATTATTGGGAGTGAGTCCCACTTTGGTTAATTTAGTGGAAGATCATGGGTTTATAAGTGAGGAATACTATCTCTATTGGTACGTGGAAGCCCAAAACAAAGCCATGAGAGCTTATGCTCAAAGTGGACAATATCATACCATTGTGGAGAGTCATGATTCCTAACGTAGTATCAAAGTCATGCCCTAAACTTAGCCATGTAAATAGAATCCTCAAATATCGAACAAAGAATTGTGAGCCTCGAAGGTGTAGTCAAGAGTGACTAAAGTGTCGAACAAAGGGTGTACTTTGTTAGAGGGCTCCAGAGAAAGGAGTCAAGCCTCGATTAAGGGGAGGCTATTCGAGAGCTCCATAAGCCTCAGGGGAGGCTTATAGTGTACTTTGTTCGAGGGGAGGATTGTTGAGGATTGAGGATTATTGGGAGTGAGTCCCACCTTGGTTAATTTAGTGGAAGATCATGGGTTTATAAGTGAGGAATACTATCTCCATTGATATGAGGCCTTTTGGTGGAAGCCCAAAGCAAAGCCATGAGAGCTTATGCTCAAAGTGGACAATATCATATCATTGTGGAGAGTCGTGATAAAACTTCAAGCCAACATTTTTCCAATAACATTGAGAAATACACCCATAGCATTTACATATCACGGTGAAAAAAGACAATAACAACAACCAACTAAACAAAATCAAACCTCGTCTTCAGAGGCGTGCTTGTTTGGTGAAGCAACTTCGAATGTCGTATCCTTAGCATGATCTAGACACTCAGAACCATTCACTAGAAGCATTTCTGAGACAGAAGAATACCCAGTTGCTTTGGCTGTGTGTACTAACAAACCAGTCGGCTTAAGACCTTTTTTCTTCCTGAAAATGATTATTCTCAATTAGATCATATGATCATTCAATCTAAAAAACTTCTAATAAAAACGGATTCAGATAGGAATAAGGATCACAATTCCAGATTTACATGCAAACGCTGCAATTGCAAAGCCCTCTGCATCTGGGACATTTCCAGTCTCCCTTAAGCATCACCTCTTCTGCTTTCTCCCCATATCTGATATAGTTTCCAAGAAATTCATTCAATACGAGCACAGATGGAAACCTCACACAACTTTTTAGCACCATATATACTAAAAACAAGTGAAACCCAAAAATGTAAAGACCATAAATACACGAAATCAACAATGTAACCTGTTTATAAGGCATTTATGACAGAATTTTATGGTGCACAGCTTGTCCCCCTTCATGTTCATACAGGATGCAGCAAGATCCATAGTTTTTTGTCGGCACTACAGCATTAACAAAAACCATGAGAAATAATCGACATTCCAAAAAACTAAACACTGAACAACAAAGGTAATCAGAGTTTGAAAAAATTACTTGATGACAAGTTTTTCCGTTCTCAGAATCGTAGATCCGGCCCCCGATGACTCGAACTCCAGGAGACTTCGTCCGTTTGGCTCTGTGCTCGTTGTTATCGGCAGCAACCCTTTTCTTGCTCCCCATTAAGTCGTTGTCGTTCAGTTCAGATCAAAATCTTCGAAACCCAGATTGAGAAACAGGCAACAAATGGTGGGGTTTCTTGGAAATGATCTGTTGAACAAATGGTGTTGGCCTTTGGGGAGTTCGAAGACGCTAGGGAGGAAGCAGGGGTTGCATTTCCCGATTGGCGGGTGTTATTTGTTCTAGATATTCTTCCGTTCCGGCGGGAAAAAAATGGAGAGCGAAAACTGAGTTTGAAAAGAAATCTTTGAGGCAATTAAAGAACTCCCGCCACTTTTGAAGATCTGAATTCGCTACAGAAATTTGGGTTCTCCTGAACACGATTTTGAACAGGCTGGGTGAGTTAATGTTAATCTTACTTGGACTCGTTCCGGCTTTTACTTGGACTTTAAAGTCTAGGGTTTAGTGTTCAAAACACCTAATTAACTTAAATAACGCAATCTACGCCCACTAAATTTAGATTAAATTGTTTCATACAATTAATTTTAGTTCACCCAACAAATTCCAATTTATTGTTGATTTTTAAAAATATATTAATAAATTAATATATGTTTGTACCGTGCTATTTTATTTTTATTAAAAATTTTACATAAATGATTAAAGATGTTTGTACTGCGGTAGTGTGATAGAGTAAGTCGATTACTCAAGATAGTAATATGATAGGGTAAGTCGATTACTCAAGATAAGTAGAGTTTTACAGTAATTAACATATGTTGATGATCAAGAGGTCAGAGATTCAAATCTTTCACTCTAAATGTGGTTGAATCGTTGATGAAAGAAACAACGCTAGGACCTTACCAAAAGGAAAGAACTCGAGAGACGCTTAACCTATAAATACCTATTCATTTCAATGGCTCCACTAAATTCCCAAGCCAGACAAAGCTAGCCATGGAAGTTAACGGTTGAGAATAGCTTTGGGCCGGGCTGCTGAGGTGGCAGACCAAGACTTTCAAAATCCCAACCCAATCTAGTGGTTGGTGGGGTCTACTCGGATTTTTTCATATGGTCCAAGGCCAATAGTTATGTAAAATATATATGACACGTGGCGTACTGCTAATGGATTAAGAGAGATAAGGCTGGTTTAGGGGATTACCAACATCTCTTTACCCAATAATCTTTAAATGAAATCTGCAAAATTTCAAAATCCTTTAATGGAAAGTTTCTGAGCTCCAAGAACCTCTCAGCTATTCAATCGCCTTATATAAATCATCCCTTTTGTTCATTAGCTCAAACTTACACTCGAGTTCAAATGATGGCTCTCGTAATTCCCGCCACTCGTCCCATACGAAACTTTAAAAACTTGATCAATCCAATTACTTGCAACTGTGGTGCTGTTTCCAAGAATTTGCCAATTCTCGACCACCGTAATCATCGGCGGGAGATTTCAAATAACAATTCGTCTGTTGCTATGGTTTGGACACGAACAACTAAACCAAGAAGAGGGTCGTTGACGGCTTCGTTGCAAGATGACAAGCGTGGGAGATCCAATGGTTTGGATTCCGAGTCCGAGGTTTTCGAAAAGCTATGCCGTGTTCGGGAGTGTGACGCGAATAAGAAACAGTTGAGGTCGTTGGGTTCTTACTTTGGAAGGCTTCAAGGTGGTGGGAGTAAGAGAAAAATGGTTCCTTTGAAGAAGAAGGTAGAGGTGGTTGATACGGGTCAGTTCGAGGCAAAGAAAGAGCTCGAGTTGCTTGACGCTTATTTTGAAAAAGTTGATAATGGTAATTATTTTTTAATTTTATGTTAATTTAATGGCGTAAATATTTTTTTAATATGCAATCTATCATTTACAGATGCATGCATGCATAACCATGCGACCTATAATTTTGGAGGACAACATAAAAGCAAATCGGTCGTATTCACGTCGTTTCCTCTTGAAGATCACGAAAGAGACGACGAGACACAAATACGACATGACAAACTTGATGATATGATTACGAGAAGCATGCCAAGAACAACTCAACTACAAGAAGATGAAGTTTCTGATCTCTACTTAATGTACGATTCAAATCCTAACTCGTAAAATTGCTTTTGTTATGATCGAATATGGTCGCTAACGGAACCGTGTTCGGTTTGTTTTTGGGATGCAGAAGTGGTCTGGTTTCAGTAAACATAGGTGTTTTCTTGTTTGAAGTAGCAAGTCCAGTAAAAAGCTCAGGGCTGCCACTCTTTTCACTCCCTTCTCTATATGGAGCAAAGATAAATGAGTTGATCCTAGTAGGAGAATGGTGGAGGCTTGTGACACCTATGTTTCTGGTACACGATTGATAGATATAACTCGGTTCGTGTTTCCGTTCTAGAGCTGTTTTGAACATTTATTCGTTTTTCTTTTTTAATAAGACTGAGAACAGAACAAAACAAAACGTTTGTAACAACCCAAGCCCCTCGCTAGCCAATATTGTGCTCATTGGACTTTTCCTTATGAGTTTTCTCTCAAGGTTTTAAAACGCGTCGGTTGAGGAGAAGTTTCCACACCCTTACAAGGAATGTTTTGTTCCCCTCCCCAACTGATGTGGGATCTCACAATTCACCCCCTTGGGGCCCAGCGTCCTCGTTGCCACACCGCCCGATATTTTGACTCTGATACTATTTGTAACTGACCAGACTCATCCCTAGCAGATATTGTCCTCTTTGGGTTTTCCCTTACAGTTTTAAAACGCGTCTATTAGGGAGAAGTTTACACACCCTTAAATGCTTTGTTTCCCTTCCAACTGATTTGGGAACTCACAATCCACCCCCCTTGGTAAGCGTCCTTGTTGGCACACTGCTCGATGTCTGACTCTGATACCATCTGTAACAGAATAAGTCTATCGCTAGCAGATATTGTCTTTTTTGGGCTTTTCCTTCCGAGTTTTGCAGGAATGCTTTGTTCTCCTCTTCAACAGATATGGGATCTCACATAGTGTCTACTTAAACGTAGTATATTTTACATGAAGTCGGGTGGGAGATTCGTATATCTCGTGACCCACTTTCTTTGACATTGAAGATTTGAATGTAGAGATTTCTTGATTATTACTTTGCTTTAGCACTCGTGAAGCTGATCTCTTTATGCAGCATTCAGGAGCTGTTCATGTTGCTCTCAGTTGTTGGACATTGGTTACATTTGGCCGTCAAGTTTGTAGAGACTATGGCCCCTTTACATTTTTCTTGATCTATGTCTTAGGAGGAGTTTCTGGCAATCTCACAAGCTTTCTCCATACTCCCGAGCCGACTATCGGTGGAACGGTAACGAAAAAAACAACGTCTTCCCTTCTCGTTTCCAATTACAGTCGATAAATTTACTTTCATTACCACATATATTAATATCGTAGTTGAGATGTGCATAAGCTAGTTCGAATACCTACGAGTAGTAGTTGAAGGCATAGTTCGAGTTATATTGCTGTTGGTTAGTCTGATTCGTGATAGATGTAAATTATGAACACATGGAGCAGGGGCCTGTGTTTGCCATGATTGGAGCTTGGCTAAGTTACCAATTCCAAAACAAAGATGTGGTTGCAAAGGATGTTTTAGACAGCATGTTTTTGAAGGCAATATTTGTAGCTGTCGTCAGTTCCATTTTGAGCAATATTGGGCCAATTGATGAATGGTGAGTAAAAAAAACTCTCCATTTCAAACACTTTTTTTCTCGAGACGAGTCTTAAAAATATGATTCTCATAAGTAGCACTTAATTCTTCGAGAAGTGAACTCTCACTTTTGTGTTGATGGCTAAATGATATATAATAGCTAGATCATTTTTCAACCATTCTAAACGTCATTTGTAACATTCTCGAGAGAATTGTTAATGAATACCTCGACCGTTTGAGTTACGAATTGTTTTGGATTGTTTGGTGTTGTAGGACTCACACAGGAGCAGCTTTCAGTGGAATGCTATATGGGTTGTTAACATGCCCAGTTGTGGAGGTGAATGATGCTGGTTCTTCTTCATATTCTGCATCAACTTCTTCAAGGAGAGGCCAAGAAAAGGGAATCAAACTTGTTAGGAAGTATGCTGATCCTCGCAAATCATTGGCTTTTTTTGCTCTGTTTATCATGGGATTCACAAGTTTGCTCTTCCTTATTCAGCCTCCTGCCACCACATTGCCCTTATAAGGCTTTTGATTGGGGCTTTGAGAGGAAATTTCTTCCCAAAATGTTGCCAAGATATCAAGTTTATAGTATAGTTTGCCTCTTGTTAAGCTTAGCTTACAATTTTGTCTTTCAATTGCTACAAGAACACTCTAAATCCCAGTTTAAATCATATTATGATACTCAAAATGAATTAGAAGAACGAACTTCTCTTTGTACGTAGAAAATGAAGAACAGCAGATCAATGTGTTTAAACCAAACGAGAAAACGAATATCATATTCCATAGCACTCGAGACATCGAAACATCGAAACACCGAAACATCAAATTCTTCTCATAAATAATAAAACCACATTATACTCTTTGTTGGAGTATTCAAAGGAAGGCTCTAGAAGTGCTTCCACATCTTGCACTCAAAAGCCAAAGCCCATCAACCAAAGACATCATTTCATTCAGAAACTACCAGCAACAACCCAAGTAGCACTAACAACACTAAAAGACAGGGTCGCCACATTTTAAAGAAGAAAAGAAAAAAGGAAAAGTAAAAGTACAGAGTACAGCTCCTATTGACTCAAACAACAAGACAAACTACTGTCCATGTCCCTCTCCTGATTCACGTTTTGATGCTTCCTTAATTTCATCGCCGGCTTCATCCTACAGAATTTGTCACAAATCACCATTATTAATATGTAATATCAGACCAGACACAGCAGGTTACAGAACATGTCAGGACATGTCTACTGACTTTATTGTCATTAATGGCAATTGCACAAAGCCAGCTCATGTGTAGCACATTGCTATAAATTTTAAAATTCGGGAGTTTTTTGGTTTGTGACTCAATGGATCTGTTTTTCTCTACCTTGGATCTAGGAAACTATTTACAGGAGAAGCAGACAAGAAAAAACAGACAAGATTTTAGACAGCAGTCTAATCAAGGTTTTCCAACGCGGTTGTGCAGAGATATGATTGGAAGCAGTGTAAAACAGAGCTGGAATAAGGGTATAGCAAGACTTGTCTTGAAAACAAAATTGAGTAGCCAATGCATTAAGGCTTGTGCCTGAGAGCGTTACTTACCCCAACATCAGAGGTCCAAAGGGTCAAGTTGTCTCGGAGAAGTTGCATGATTAAGGTGCTATCCTTGTATGATTCTTCACCCAATGTGTCAAGCTCAGAAATCGCTTCGTCAAAAGCCTATTTCAACACGAGACATAAGCTTATCATCAGCTAACCAAATTGATCTTAGGAAAAAAGACCCAATCAGTCTCTTTCTTCTGTTTTTCTGATGGGTTTAACCAGAAAAAACCAGGAATCGAATTAGTATAGAGCTTTACCTGCTTTGCTAAATTGCAAGCGCGGTCTGGCGAATTGAGGATCTCATAATAAAACACTGAGAAGTTAAGAGCAAGACCTAGCCTAATTGGATGTGTAGGAGCCAATTCAGCAAGAGCAATATCCTGTTTTCATGGTTGAAAATACAGCAAAAGCAATTTGTTACTAAATACACTAATAAGTAATAGAAATGGTAATATTTTTAAAAGAGAGCGAAGAAATGTGAGGTGTGGTCAACTTGACCTGAGCAGACTTGTAAGCTAATAATGTGCTCTCAGCTGCTTCTTTCCTTTCAGCTCCAGTCTTGAACTCAGCCAGATACCTGTGGTAGTCACCTTTCATTTTGAGATAAAACACCTTCGACTCGGCAGATGAGGCTGATGGGATGAGATGAGACTCGAGTAGGCTCAAAATCCCATCACAGATCTTGCTCAATTCAGTTTCAATTTTGCTACGGTACTCCTTGATAACTGCAACATGGTCCTCATTTCCACGACTTTCTTCCTTCTGCTCAATGGAAGATATTATCCTCCAAGAGGCCCTCCGAGCCCCAATGACATTCTTGTAAGCAACAGAGAGAAGATTCCTCTCCTCAACAGTCAGCTCCTCCACATCCACAGTTTTGGCAACTTTCTCCATGAACTCTACCATTTCCTCATACCGTTCGGCCTGTTCGGCCAACTTGGCCAAGTAAACATTTTCCTCCCGTGAAGAATCAACAGTCGACATCTTCAATGTAACAAACTATTTTTCATAGCAATTCAAACGAGAAAAAATCAGATCATATTCAAAGCAATTCAAGTGCTTATAATTCATGGATTAAGAACTAGCTACAATTTCCCATAAGCATAATCTTCTCACAGCTAAAAACCAAGATCGAAGGGTTACAACTTCCAGTCACTCATATTTAGCTTTTCCATTTTGCTATCAATAGGACCAAACCATAAATCAGGGTTTCAAACAAACCCAGAATTTGGATGTTAAATAAGAGCTTTGAATTCATTCAATCTTCCACACAGTACTACGACGAAGCATATACCCATAAATCGTACCTAAGATCCATCCCAGATTCCAAATTAAACCACAAAAGATTCAACACTAGAATTTGAACAAACCCACAAAAAAAGAAAAAAGGAACGAAAACTATCTATAACTTTTAGGGCATCTAACCAAGAATTAAGCAATCAAAATAGCCCACATACAAGCAAACCACGATCAAATAATCAAGCGATTCCTAAAACAGAAATGAAACGAAAAAAGAAAAAGCAACAAACTATAGGTCACACTCATGTTAACCCTAGATCTCAACATCCAACAAGAAAACGAGAAAAGGGGAAAGCATCAAACCTAAAAACAAAAATAGTCCAAGTAAAAGGGTGGAAAAACCAACGAAATCCAAAGGCTAAATCGAAACCCTAACGCAAAATGGGGGGACGAAAGGGAAAGAGGAAACCAAGAACTGAGAGATCAAAAAGTAGGGATTATTACCTAGAGAAAACCGAGAGCAGAGAGTGAGATTGGGAAACTAGCAGGAAATGGGGAGAAGGTTGGAAGGGGTTTTAAAACGGTAGGTTGAAGAGAGCGCTCCAATGGGAGAATGACACGTAATGGGTAGACAAGATGTCCTCCAGGGTATTTTTGGACTTTCCAGTGAAAGCGGTTGCCACGTAGGCGTTGACTGTCAACGATGTGAAGTGCCGTTGTACTTCTTGGGTCACCGGGCTTGGTTGCAAAAAAATCGGGACGATGTTTTTAATATTAATCGTAAGTTGTTTTTTAGTCAACACGCTTGCCTGGTGCCACGCTCGTTCGACGTGTCGTTCTTATATTAGTAAAACTCCTTTTGAATTTTGGAAATATTTCATAATATATTTTCTCATTTAAAAAAAAAATTGAATTCAATATTATTCTTCTATCTCTATATATAATTGTAACAACTATAGGCGTGCATAATATATTAATTAGACAAGTAACGTCAAACCGTACAGATAAAAATCGAACAAATATTAAACTGATATTATTGATTGATTTGAATTAATATAATCCATAAGGTTATTTCAATTTTATTATTCTATAATATCATGCTTATGTGTTGCTCGTAATGCCACCACGTATAGATACACATAACGTAATTCTTTATTCAACTTGACATCATTGAGAACTAAATACTAACATAAGCAATAACTCATAATAAATTTGAAAATTAAGACATTTTTAAGCGAAATGCTCGAAATCAACTTTTTAGAAATAGCGTTTAAAGTGTTTAATTGAGAATGACCAAAATACCCTCACACTATTGTGGCTCATCGTAGGTGATCACCATACAATCGTCGCTAACACCCATTTCTAGTAACCATTGTCGATGACCAACACCGACGACCAGGAAACCATCTCTAAAGACCATAAGGCGACGACAAATGATAATTATTCGCAACCATCTCCAATGATCAACAATAATTTTCAACGATCAATGACAATCTCTAGCGACCCTTCTAATCGTGATTGGTAGATTACAATGTTAATTATAAATAAGAACTATTAGTCGTTTTTAATAATAATATTTTTAAATATAAAAGAAACCAAATAAGTTTGTGTATAGAAATATTTTGAGAAAATGTATTAATTTCAAATAATTTATTAGATTCTTTATGAAAATAACTACTTAAAATAAAATGAATTAAAAAGGTTTAATTCAAATATTCCCTAAGTCTACTCCAATATTATGGAAATAATAAATTTAAATAATAATAATAAATAATAGAGACCTTATAAATAATATATGCATGATCTGCAATTAAAATATTATTTATTAAATGCTACTACACTGATGTTAATTTTATACAGATGTTTGATTAATTCATAATTAAGATTATTTTAATAAATTTCACGAAAACCAAGAAGATATTGCAATTGTATTAAACATTAAATATATTCCAATAATATCTAAAAAGAATTAAGAATTTAAAAAAAGAAAATTCGAAAATGAGTCAACAAAGCTGTCCTCAATGATTTGCTTTTTCAATCAATTTGTTACCAAACATTATTATTATTATTGTTATTATTATTATCATTATTATTATTATTATTATTATTTCGAGCATGATAAATGACTCCAAAATGTCAAAGGTTATTATCCATGTCCCTAATTATTCTTAAATATATAATGAGCATGAGAAAAATAAATAAATTACAAAATCACATAAAATATTTTTTTTAAAAAAAACTTTGATAAATATATTATTTCAAGTGGCAAACTTATTTCATTTTTTTAAAAATATCAACATGTATAACATAATAAATTATAAATGGTATAATATTATAAAAAAGATCTACTTTCTAAATATACTGCCAAATATATATTTAAAGACGCTAAGAACATAAAACATAACTCTATTTTTTATTATCCCATGTTTTCTAATCAGCAACCAAATAAACCCTAAAATATTGATGCATCGATGTATGTCGATTTGACATAATATGGAGGAGAAAAATCACATATAATGAATTTTCTTGTTGGGTTTAGGTAAAGGTTCAAAAAATTGAAAGCAGATTCATAAAGCTTATCTAATGTTTTGATGGTGTTGTTGAAAGGCATAATGTTCACACAAAATGTCAAAGGGTATGCGAAATTCTTTTGGAACTCTTTTGGAACTAACCAGTCAAATCATTGCTTCTTGGTGGGATTGTAAAGGTCCCCTACCACGACCCAAATCTACTGCTACTAGATACTATTCAGGTTTAAAACGCGTCTATTAAGGAGATGGTCTAGCCCTATTCCGACCAATGCCTCACACCATCCAGTGACAGGCTTTGATACTATTTGTAACATTTCAAGTGCATCACTAACAGATATTCTTAACTTAATCAACTTTTGTTCACCCGAGGAGACTTTCTAGATCTAAATAATTGTCTTTATAGGGCCAAACCTAACCGTATCCATAAGTTCGAAAGAACAATGCAAGCTAACTGAAACTAGGATGTTTTAAAACTATGAATTAGGCTTTAGTGAGAAAGCATCATGATCAGTTTCATATAGCGTACCTGTCTCTGCAAGCCTTGGCAGGAACTGAAGAAAACGTGCGACCGCGGAGAGTCTCAGCACGGGTACCACCTCAACCTTCTGTTTGTGTTATTATCACCGGCAGCACCTTGCAAAAGTAGACTAAAAACCACATAGAACTTGATATATAACTAAGGGGCTCAAATGGTTATACATCAGTACCTCACCTTTATGAGCAGAAGATTTGAATTTACTCCACCTATTATTTGTTTTGTAATGTCGTGTTCTAAAAAGAAAACTGCATATCGGAAAAACAAGTCTAAAAGTGATTTATTCTTCCTCATCCTTATGCAACTCTACTGGCTGCCAACAACATCAACCCATAGAACAAATACTCAGTGATTGAAGCTAAGAGTTGTCCAGGATTTCTAAAGCCGTAGGACAAATATAAATAAAGCACAAAAATAACTTAAGAACAATTTTTACTCCATGACTGCAACCCCTCCAGCAGCTTTGATTTTTTCGATAATGCTGTTCGCTTCCTCCTTGGTCACTCCTTGCTTAAGAATTGCAGGTACTTTCTCTACTAAGTCTTTTGCCTCTTTCAGACCCAAATTAGTGAAAGCCCTCACTTCTTTAATCACCTTAATTTTGGCAGCTGCCTCGAACTTCTCTAACTTCACGTCGAAAGCGGTTTTCTCCTTTTTCTCCTCTACTTTGGAAGATCCTGTGGCTGCTCCTCCTCCGGAACCCATGTCCATACCATCAACTGAAATTTGCTCCAGCTTAGGATGTTTAAGCCTTTCAGTGAGTGCGGGACCAATCTGGCAACGCTCATCGACAGGCAGTGCTGCAATTCTTTCAGCTAGCTGAATGATTTTATTAGAGGGTGGGGGCCTAGGGCCATATGGATCATAAAAAGGTGGATACTTGTATCTTTTTGGCTTGGCATTCGGGTCTCTGGGAGTAAAATCAGGCTGGAAGAAGCGGACCTGCAACAACCCAATGATTTTAGGAAGTGTGGAACGGGCTTGAAGGGATTGTGCAACTGCAATCATCTTCATTATTTCTTCGATTCAATCAGTGAATTATTGCATGGTGGCACTAAATCCCTGAGGAACATGAAAATCAAATTTGCATTTAGAATCCCTAATGAACACAAGAATCCAAGATCAATTAACTTAACATGCATGAAAAACTAAGACAAGATCTGTAGAAAGTAATTAGTTTAAGCTGCTATTGCGTTATTATCACCCCTCCTCCCTGTCTCACCCCATCACGAAGGACAAATCACCAATTGACATAGCTGAAAACTGAATTAAAAAAATATTAAGGACAAAAAATCATCAATTAACAAAGGTGAAAACAAAATAGCTTAATTTCAGTTTTCTCCTGAACTTCCCTCCAGATCTCACTCAAGGCATAAAAAAATAACAAGTTAACACAGATTGATAAAAATCTAAGAAAAAAATTGCAGAAACCATGCCAGTTCTGGTTTGTCTTCCTTCCTTTGATCGAATTGTAGTGGCATTCCAAAACTGGGCCTTCGGGCAACCTTACTATTCTGTGGAGCAAGGTATCAGTGGAAGTGGTGTAAGCTTTCAATGGTGTCTTCTCCATCATTATTAAAATAGAAGTTTGAGATATAACTTTAGAGCTGGTTACCAAGTACCAATTACCAATATGTATGGACTTAACTCTCAGATTAAGAAAGCAGTTCTAGCAAGAGCTAGTCAAATTTTCTAGCCTCATCAAAGGAATTCAACGCATTTGCCCTGTTTGTACCCAAATAGATAGATTTTTTTACTCATTTGGATATATTTTTTCAGAGTCACAGGGCGTTTGGAAGGGTGGAAGAACTTGAGAGAATGTTGGCGTCCAATTACATCAGATTTACTATATCAGGTGATTGTTCATGGGTAAGTCATTCTCGCCATACATGCATGGTCCGTAGGGTTCTATGGCTGTCTAAAAAGAGAGGCGTTGCTTCCATTCAACAACGTTCCAATCCTAAAAATTTCTTTATGGAACACTAAAAATGTCTAGCCATAGTTCACCACACTCGCACAAAGCTCTAATAATTTACCAATTGTGCTTAGCCGGGGATCTTTCTTGGACACTACTACTTTTTTTATAGGTGTGAAATCTGTTTGGTTTAGTCAGTGTTCAGCAGTCGAACCCATGCCCAAACGAACATTGCACAAATGAGAGAACTCATCCTTAACCTAACTGAGATTTCGATCAGTTCACTTAATTAGGTTCTCTTTCTCCTCCAAACCATTAAAAGACCATTTGACCAGATTCATTGAAGGCAACTTCACTAACCAAATCGGAGGATCTTATTGCAAACAACTGCTTCCTGTCAGATTCTTTGAAGTCAACTTCTCTAACCATTCGACCAGATTCTTTAAACATAATTGGATGACTGATTCATGTCCGAATCACACAAACCAGTTCCAATTTGCCGCAAGGCTGTTTTATTTTCGTTGCTATTTGGCTCCTCCATTCTTCCACTAAACAAGTTCTAATTTTTCAAGTGAGAAGAAAGACAGATGGAGATTGAAAGAATACCTGTAACAACAAGAGAGTAGAAAATCAGTGAACAGCCCCGAGAAGGGAGGAGGCTACGGTCACGAACAGAAAAACGACGGCAGCAACGAATGGGAGAGAGGCGGCGGCGACACCGAGCTGCTGAAACAGAGGAGGCCAGGGCGAGGGAGTGAAGAAGAAGAACAGTTAGGGTTTTCCTATTTCTTTTTTCTAATTAATTATTTATTTATTTAATTTTACGGCGCTTTAAAAGAAAAGGCTAATTTAATGGGGTAGGGAGGATTGATCGATTTTTCTTTTTTTCTTTAATATTCTCTAATTTATACTTAAATGTAAAATGTTTTAATTTAAATTTTCTTATATGAGAAAAGTTTCCCTTCCCATGTTGTTGTTAATTCTTTTCCATTTTAAATTAAAATAATATTGAAGTGAATATTTTTTTTTATTTCCAATATATCAAATAACCACTAATGCATTAGCTTAATCTCAATTTAATTTTTAATATTTTACCTTTAATAATCCTTATAACATAATTTATTATTTTTTTCTTAAAAAAATCACACCATTTTAATTAAAAATATATAAATTTTTTGTATTATGTTCACCCGTGTACCAAGGTTGTTCGAGTTGTGGGTGATCACCAAAGGTCGTCAAACAACCCAGAAACACATCGTCAAAGATAGCTCATTGCTTGGATGGTTGCTCGCCCACTAAAAACTCATTGTCAGCCTATTCACATTATGGAACAACGATAACTATAGATATATTGCCAAACTCACGTCTTCAATATCGTTATGGTGGTTGATAGCATGCAAATGTTAAGAGTGATTGTGGGCACCATGTAGAAACGAATAAGGACTCCGATATCCTTCGTGCCATAGACATGTGACACAGAGCTTCGTGCAGAGGCGAAGTAGATTTATGGTAGAAGGGAGACAGGCAACAACACGATGTTGGAACTAGACAATGTTGTTAGACGAACACGACTCTCCACAATGGTATGATATTGTCCACTTTGAACAAAAAAACAAAAACTCTCGTAGTTTTGCTTTGGGCTTCCCAAAATGGCTCATTCCAATAGAGATAGTATTCCTCACTTATAAACTTATGATCTTCCACTAAATTAACCAATGTGGGACTCATTCTCAATAATCTTCAACAAATGTTACAAAAATAAGACGGCGTGAGATGCATCAATAGCTCAAATGGTATTAATGTCTATCCAATAAAAATGATAAAAAAATCTTAAAAGGTTATAAATATAATAATATATTTAATTTTCTTTTAACATTTTCGAAATAAAACAAATAAAAATAGGTACAACAGGCACAACCCACATTTTGCGCACAGAAACTACAAACTCTCAGCTATCCCAATGCTAACAACAAATTCAATCTAAATCATGTCATGAATGCATGAATGCTCTATTTAGAACGAGGTCGTTTGGGTGAAACCAAAAGTAAAATCACGAAAGTTTATGTTCTAAGTCAACGATAACATGTCTTTAAAGAGATATTGAAGGTCGATTGTCACTGCTATCTATCAGTTCATACGAAAACCAAAATCATAGATCATACTAACCTTTATTCGTTGTTAGCAAGCAGAAATTAGAGCAAGTGTTTGTCGCTGTTCAGCCACTTCCGTGCAATAACAGCAGTGAGATGAGATTTTCCAGAATCAATGATAAAGCAAAAACAAATCTTTTCCTTATCCTCAGATTTTTCTAGACTCGTCAACGACACAGTTCAGATACGCCTGAAGATCATACATATCTTCATTGACATTGATCTACAGTGAGACCTGCCAACCAGGAAACAAACAGAATAACCATAAAACTGATAATCTTTCCATTCAACTTGAAGCTAAAATGTTTAAATCTCATTTTGATTTCTAAATTTCGAGTTTTTGAAATTATTTAGAACTTACAAAATATGTAATCTAAGTGCCTAAGTTTAAAGCCAAATTCACTTTGTAAGTAACATCTCAAACTTTCAAGGAACAAAATGAAATAAATTAAAAAGTTCATGGGTCCAAAATGGACAACATCATAAATTCTGCAAATCAAATTGCATTTACCAATTTGAAAGAAGTTTCCTAATATATTTTTTCCCTTCAAGAATCAAACCAATGAATGATGAACACGCTTTCTGCTTTCTAGTCACTCCTAGTCTTTAAACTAGAAACGAAGAAACTTTTGACTTACAACAGTTCAAAGGGGGAGGGGGATATAATATTTTGTTCGCTATTATTTGGAATCTGGCTGGAGGGATGTATTCTTTTGTAAGTATTTACCATAACCCTTCAGATTTTCTGCACGGAGCATCTCCTATCTTTGTCTCAATCTGAAGGCACAGATTGGGATGGTAAAGAAAGGAAGAAAAAAAAAAGAGAACATAGCTAACACTTAAAAGGATTTCTACCCAATTTGGTTATCCTTCTAGCAAGAGGAGAATCCCAGTGCTAGAATGAAAGGAATCAGAATGTTTTTTAGAGATTTGAATGAGACCCATCATTCAGAGTCCACCTAACAGATCTCAGCTCTATGACTTTGTGAGATTGATACCAGTACCTCAAAAAGCTGTATTATGTAAAGTATTTTGGCATAACATCTTTCAGGTGGACCTACTGAATATTGAAATCTTATACTACAAGGTGGATCTGGCTTGTGAATTATTTGTATTCAGCACCTTGAATTCTAGACAAACCGTTCAAAGTTCATATCTGCAATTATCATAGAAAAATGATTTCTCTAGCAGTTTCTAGAGAAGCCCTTGTTTTTTCCCCCACAGTAACACCCAAACTGCAAGTAGATTGTATCTAACAGCAGAAACAGGAAACGACTTCGAAATTCTCAATGAGTTCAGAGTGATAATGATAAATAAAAGAAAAATTACACACACAGAAGAAGACAAGGATTGCCTTCTCTTTCAGAAAGATTGTCCTGGCGAATCCACTTCTCCATGAACCCAACCATCAATGTGAATATGAAGTGTTTCAAACTTTGTCATTTCCTTCTGGAAAAAAAGAAGCCAAAAGATAATAGAAATTCCAACTTCTTGTTTAGGGTTTAAGGAAGTTTCATAGAGATATTTGTTGCAATTAGCAGTCGAGAGAGATCATGAGAAGAAAACAGAAAAATAGACACAAATAGGAACAAAGAAAGAATCAAAACATCTCTCAAGATATCTTTATCATCTGAGAATGATAGCAAGGACATGACAAGTAAGTTTGGATATTTGAAGGAAAATATTGCACAAAATTCATTCACAACAAGAGTAATGATAATTTTCCCTCCTAAAAAAAGTGCGGAAGTGCCAGGGGTTTATTCATCCTGATTTATGAAATTATTTTCTCTTCTTTCTAATCCCTTAGAAGCAGATTGTGACTTCCACAAATACAAAGACTAGGATTGGCTTTTAAGGAACAGTAGAGAGTGCTTTGGGTCAAACCCACTTTTCAGATATGAATATCAAAGAGAAGTACACGGAAACTAGTGAGAATGAGAATGAGAATTAGATTTTATCATTGTGTTTGTCAAATTATTTTAGAACTGAGACCGAAATGCAAAGCATCACCATTGATATGAGAATCTACTTTAACACCCCCCCCCCCCCCCCCCC